GTAATATACTAAGCAGCAAAGAAACGTCAGGTTGGTATGTTACTCTGAATCAGGGCTGCCGACAACCAGTATCGCAGCGCAATTTGCGATACATATTTTGTCCGTTGCTAACCAAAAATTAAAATCTAACGTTTTTGATTCGCAGTTACTGCGAATCATCAATATGCCTGTCATTTTGGATATTGACACAAGAATAATCCACATTTTGAAGACTAGAAGGCTTACTCAACACTTTCAACGTGTATAAAATGTTGAATAAAATTTTATAAACAAAACTGAATTCTCCGTGTGACATTTTCTTCTCGAACTACCAGACACAATACTATATAACACATAACTCTATGAATAGGGACTATTAAACCGGAAATAGGGAATCAAGTAGTACCACTCACGTTGCAAGACATCAAGTAATTATATCATATTCATTTTGAAAGAAATAAATCCAATGTATCCCCCACGTATTGTAAATAAAATATAAAAAAATAAATACATGTTAACGTATTGTAAAATGATAAATCAAAGTAAAAATTCCCGTAAGACATTATTGTTTATATCGTGTGTGTCTAGTTAATCGAGGTGTGTCCGATTGAAGAAAAATAGTAATACACGATAAAAAGCAGACGAAATTGTTTTCTAACGAAGATTTCTAACGTAACAAAAAAATAACAATTAAAATGAGTGGGGCTTCGGAAGTCACTGTCAAGAATTGGCTTCAGACATAAGACCTAACTAAATTTCTACATCACATTCACAAACTGTCACAAGTACTTGTGGCAGTGCTAAAAAATCTAAGAATAGTCAGAATGGAATCTAATCATATTTGTTATGAATTAAAGTAATATCTTGTTATTTAGGTGTTTTACATTGAAACTGAAAAACTGCTAATCAATTTTTAAATTTGCTAATCAAATTTGGCGAAATTGGACTTTTTGATTAGCAGTGCTGCTAATCAACTGTGAAAAATTACCGACAGCCATGCTCTGAATAGACGCATTGCATAAAACTTGCCAGATGTTTTTATTGTATATTTGTGACCACATCTCCAACTTTACCTGAGCAATAAGGCTCTTTCCCAAACACAGAATTGAACCCAGGAAATGTGCTCAAAAACGCAACCTGACTTCTGAGATTGTCATGGGTTCTCCGTGATTTTCATGTAACTCATGCTGCACGTGCTGTTCACCGGGACCAGCCCTATAAAATGCACCCCTATACCTGGTTGAATCATTCACACTACAACGTTAGCAGCATGTCACGATTCACGACAGCTCAGAGGAACCAGGAACTTGGAAGACTCGACGCTGGCCACACTGCCCAAGCCGTTGCCAATCACTTCCAGGTCAATGTTCGGACCATCTACAGGCTTCAGCAATGCTTTCGGCCCACTAACACCACGGACGATCCCCCCCCCCCCCCGAACTGGTAGACCAATGGTTACCACAAGGCGACAAGACACACTGAACAATCCATTTATTTTAACAACAGATGCATCGGGTTACGAGGTCGGCTTTATACGTGGACAAAAAGGTGATGATGGCTTAGAACATGTAATTCATTATGGAGGAAGAGCAATCAGTGCTGCAGCAGAGAAAAAATACTACCATCCGTTCATTACCAACCTAAATCGCCCTTATCAGACAATATTATTATTAGTTTTGATTATTGGAATTTTACTAGAAGTTACTTTTTTTATTAATATCTTGACCAAGCTTTCAAATAATAAATAAACTGAATGAACAACCCGCTTCAGTTACAAATAAAATCAACATTTCATGGTTTCAAGTTTTTTAAATTACGATATATTCTAAAACAACCTTTTAACACGTATATTTTGGTACAACACCAAAGATTTTTATATCCACTGCCAAATTTGAAAGTGAAATCCGAATCAAATATAATGAATTATAACGTGGGGCATTCATTCGTAAAACATGCGAATTATTGTACATATTATATTCATGTTCGATTATTATATTATGTTCATGACGACATTTATTTTAAGAGTATAATCTATGATACTTGGGTTTAAGAAGATACTTATATATATATTTATTTTAAGAGTATATATATATATATATATATAAGTATCTTCTTAAACCCAAGTATCATAGATTATACTCTTAAAATAAATGTCGTCATGAACATAATATAATAATATTGTTTGAAATTATGAATATTTGTATTTTACAGCTTATGATGACACAAAGCTAAAGGAGCAGAGGGAGTAATGTAATAATTAGTGGTTAATTGTATAATTGAAATCTTATAATCCCTCTTGTTGTTTTAATGATTATTCTAAACGCTTCCTTAATTATGGTATAAGCTGTATTGAAGAGTATTAGCAAGTAATGTGAGGGCTGCGTCTTTAAGCCTGGCGCACACTACGCGACGACATACGCGATTTCAGTCGCCGACGATGAAAAATCAAAAGCTCGCCTAGTGTGCGCAGTCGGTCGCACTGCACTCGACCGGCGCTGTACTAAGACGGCTACGCTGCCTCCTGATCATCTTGTACAAAACAATATTTTATAATTGAAGAATTCAACGCGATGACGACTAAAATGCATTTAGTGGCGTCACATGACGAAGCACGCGACATGGGTTTTTATTCGTGATCGCCAAAGTCGTCGTGTAGTGTGCTCAATCCACTTATATTGCGGCGATATTTGTCTCCAAACTCGTCGCTGATGTTGTCGCATAGTGTGCACCAGGCTGTTACAAACAATAATTAGTGTTTAACTAAATTGGATGCTATAAACTTATGTCATTAATACTTTATTTTATTTAATTATATGTTTATTATTAGTACATATATTATTAATACTTTATTTTATGTAATTATATGCTTAATTGTCTTTTCGAATCCCAGGTTGTACGTGACAAGAAGTAGGGTTGCCTGTCCAGCCTCGTGGGTTTTCTCCGGGTCATCCGGTTTCCTCCCACTGCTAAAGACCCCTACGCGCAGGCGACCCTACTCCTTGTCACGTACAACTTCAGCGAACATCTGTCTATTGCGAACTTTAGAAATTCGAATTTGTGTATTAACCAATCATTTTGCCTTGAGTTCCTCTATCCAACGATATAAACATTTATAAAAATTAAGTATGACGTATGCCCGTCTTCATTATCCCGGTCGGTGCAGAACAATGGGTGTGACAAAGTGATACATACCTTTTATCAAATTAAACGATCATTTAGGTGCATAGAACTTTATGACCTCTGCTGGGTTTTGGTAATATATGATATTGACGTTTCAACTCTGTCTAAACTTCTGTTAAGGCACGAACTGGCGATGATCTAATTAAACATGTAATTAATCCCATATATCCATTACAAGCTACACATGATCTGTGTATAACACCCGGCAGAACCTAAAGCGAATGTAGTAGTGATCAGTGCATCATACCATGACATGATAATGACTTCAAAGGAAATACGCAGTGCAATTACAGATAATAATAATAATAATAATATATATTGTTTATAGACCGTTACACACAAATTGTCTCAACCGTCTTTACATGGGCGTACTACACATAGTATATACATAATAATAAGTGAATAAACACTATCAATAACTCATAAAAAATCTTAATTCAAGATATACAAATGTATGCCTATAAAAACATTAGATTGACTAGTAGTTATTGCCTAATTGAATAAATATGTTTTGAGGTTGGATTTAAACAAGCTGAATTTGGTGAGTGATCTAAGTCTTAGTGGCAGCTCATTCCAGAGAGTAGGCGCGGCACGACTGAAGGCGCGATCGCCATACAACTCACTGGTTTGTTTTCCATGTGTTTTGTGGGAAAAGCGTCGCAACTTCACCCCATCACTGCTTCTAGTCCGATAGGATGGAACTTGAATACCATAATCTGATAAATAAACAATACCATATATGATCATTCACTCTTGTCCATTTTTCCTAAATGTCGTACGCTATATAAGCAGGAATTTACTGACAGTAAGTCAGACTTGGAATAGAGCTCCTCCCGATTTATGCCTATTAATTCATGTTCTTAATAAAGGTCTTATCAATTATGCTTATCTTCTGTTATCTGTAGTGTTACATGGGACGTTAAACCCCATTTTATTTTTCTAAAGCGACATCGTAATTAACGCAAGTAATGTAACGTTGGCGTTTTCCGCTAACCTTCTGGTTGCTTGATGTATATATATTATTCCAGTTTCTGGGCAACAAGATATTTTTACCCCCACCCCTCCTTGTGTTCAGTTTAATAATAATGGTTTCTATAGTAGGGATATAGTATGTGATCTACTTCCAACTGTCCATGTGAAATGACCTTCAGAACATTCGGATAAGGTATATTGATTCTAATCCTAGATAATGTGGTAATTTACTACCAATATTAATTGGCTCAACTGTAAAACAAATCAAATAAAGATCTCCAAATCCAGAACTTGTCTACAAAAAAAAAATGAACAAATGTCGTATAGCCTATTTGACATAGTATTTTGAAAACTATATCACGTTTAATGTTGTTTCCAATGTTAACACTCCGTTCAACCAACGAGTCATTTATATTAAATTTGTTAGATGTTCAGGTTATATACAAGCGCCAATTAAGAAGACATTTTTCGTATATTAATAAAAAAGATGAAATAGAATTAAAATTTACGCTGAACTAATAATGAAATTGGATTATACATTGTCTTAATTTAAAAATTACATAAATAGAAGTTAGAAATTAGACGATGGCACAACTTTAACAAATTTCGAATTTTGAATCTAATATACCGGCAAACAGAAATACCCCAAATACAGAGTGGCGCGATTTCTAATTGTAGATATTTAAAAATATCTTAAGGATGAATACTAACGCAAGACATGCGCTCTCTTAGCAATAACTTCAAACAAGGAAAATAAAATCAATCCCATCCTATAATAAATGTTTGTTACGATTCAAAAATATACCCCAGATATAGAGTGGGCGCCATTTCCAACTGTAACTATTCAAAAAAGTATTAAATTAGGATGACCCGTGCACTTTACAGAAAGTTGGTCTCGACACGGCTAAATGTGCACGCTTCAGTTGCGTGTCTCGAACTGATTTCTGACTACCCCGCACTCGCTTTGAGTCGATAAATAGCCATGGCACGTGCAATTCTCTACAAATATATCAACTATTACAGCCGTAAAAAATCTATTGTTGACGATTTTGAATAGCAGTAAAATTTAGCTTCTTGGTTATTACAGCAGCTTTAGTAATTACGTTTGTTTTATTTTTTAAATTGCTTTATCATTAACTGTACCGTTAAGAGCGGCATCTTTTGGTTTAGTACAAATACTATCTCTGAATCACTTTCTTTAGCAGGAACATGATACTAGCAGTAGTTTCATTTTACTTTTACAAGTTTCTTAAAACAATTGTTGAGTTGTCTAAAGTGCTTATTTCTAAATTCAATTTCTTGTTCTAGCTTTCTGTTATGTTTCGTAAAAAAGTAGTCTTGATTATCCCGACCTGTCAATCAGACGTAGAATGGTCGATAGACTGGTTAAGCGAGACTAATTTCAAAACAAGGGCACGTAACCTATCTTTTACTCAAAAGTGTCTGGATGTTATGGACGCAACTTGGAACCAGTTTTCAGTCTAGTATTTATAGATGATTAATGGTCATAGCTTATTAAGTACAACATGATCGTTTATTTAGTGACTATAATTGTGTGAAACTGATTTGAGGCTTGGCATATATATAAATATTGTGGCGTAATTGTCGAGATATTTGGAGATATTTATTTATGGTGGGTCACCCTATAAATGTGTCAACACTTTCGAAGTCATGCGCTCTCTAAGCAGATACTTCATACAAGGAAGGTAAAACTAATTCACCTAGACCGGTGTGCTCACCTCAGACTTTTTACAAGGTAAGTGATGTATCCGTATAATAATATATCTAAATTTTCATTACAAATAAAAAATAATTGATATACATTTTGAAAGAGAGCTTTATACATGATTTTCACATATAATTATTGAATGAAATCCAGGTTATTGACTTACTATTATAAGATGAAGATTATCTTAACCCCTCCCAATAAACACACACCTTTGCCAAAAACATTGTGAACGCGATAGAGGCTATACAGTTTTTAACATATTTTTTTTCCAATTTGGCGCGAAGCATTGAAGTTTTGATAGCGCGAACCATTCTTTCCATCTATCTCTGGCAAAACGTGGGCGTGTGTTGCATATCAACCGTTAAGACTACTGACTGAAACATTTAATGCAACGAAAAACAAATGTTAATAGTCAAAAATATTAGATTTATTTTCCATCAATTCATCATTCAATGCATAATAAAATACTTATACAAGTAATAGGAACTGCCTCTTTATAGAGACAGAATTATGAACAACGAATGTTTTGGGATATAAATAAAACTTTGTTCTCAATTACCTATATTCTGCAATATCAGTAAAAAAAAACAGAACAATTTTGAACCCTGTCCATTAGTGGGTTACCGGTTAACCCATATTAAGGAGGCGACTAACAAACTAACAATCATCCCCTCCACTTTTTTAGTTTCCTTTTTCACTTTACTAAAATATGACCTAAATTTATTATGCCAATATGGAGGATGCAACGACTGTAGCAGACGATGCACTTATTATTTGTATCTAAACAGTGAGTGTGAAAAAATGTTCGGATAAATGTATATGAACACAATCTCGGTTCGAATGGGACTAAAAACCGGGGTCCCGTGTATACCTTGGGAGTCGGAATTCGATATAAGAGAAGGCCGTAGCACCGCTGTCCGGGCAAATTTCCGGCATATGCTTGTCTTTATTAGCCTAGCCGGAGCAGAACAATAGGACGTTAACCCCATCACATTTGACGATTATAGTTGATCTAACACACTTAAAGTGTCTCATTTGATATATGGCTGCACTATATATTCTTTATGTAAATAAAGTATTATCTGGATATTTACTCTAAACAATCTATAAAAATATTTTAAATCGTATGGATGGCTAGGGGTGTATCGAAAGTACAATTCGCTGAAAACTATGGTGTTCTATTTCGGCCACGTCGCGCGTCGCCTTTGAAAAAAGCGACGCGCGACGCAAACTTCGCGTCGTGCGTCGTGCGTCTCCTTTTTCAATGTTAAGCTATAGGGGAAAAAAGCGACGTCGGGTTTTGAACACGACGTCGCCCAAAAAACCGCGACGCGTCGTGCGTCGCCTTTCCTTATGCTCGTGTACAAGGAGAATTCATTTGCAGTTTATTTGCCGTTTGGTATTTTATCTTCAATACATTGATTTATATTGGACATAAGGAACTGCCATTATCCTTTATATAACAAGACATTTCTATAATAAGGGCAACGTTGTGTTAAAAAGCCAACGCCGCTTTTTTTCCCTATAGCTTAACATTGAAAAGGGCGACTCGCGACGCGGGAAGTGGCCGAAATAGAACACCATAGAAACCGAAAATTAAAAAGGTATTACCTGGAAATTTACAAACACTTAATAAAAAGATATAATGCTATTAGAATCAAAATCGAAAGTAAGATTCGAAGAATTTGAGGAGAAAAGCATCTTTATATATTTATTTAAGATCAAAACTCACATTTAGTGTTCATATCGTACTTTGAAATGGTTCATACAAACAGTTATCATCTAGATGGGCCTTTATCTGAGAAGCAATACATTTCTCCAATATTTTAGAAATAAAACTTAAGTTAGAGACAGGTCTGTAATTTTTATAAAAATTAGGATCCAGTATAGACTTTTTAATTAAAGGGTTAACATAAGCTTGTTTGAAAACGTTGGGAATAGTAGAGGATGATATACAAGAATTAATAATATTGGTAAAAACTGGAATAACTTCGTCTAGACAGTCCTAAAGAACAGGAGTCGGAACATGATCTAATGAACAAGATGTAGGAGCAGACGACTTAATTAGCTTTAAAACAAAAGATTCACTAACCAAGTTAAAATTTTCTAAATAAACAGAATTTTCTAACTTATCAAAATCATGAGCGTTAAAGTCAATAGTTTTATTTAAATCATCAATAACCAATATGAAGGAGATGACTAACAAACGAACAAAAATCATCCCCTCCGCATTTTGAATTGCCCTTTTCACTGTACTAAATTATGACCTAGATTTCTCACCTGTGTTTAAATATGTGTCATTATGCAAGATGCAACGACTTAGCAGACGATGGTTTACGGTTAACCGCACTTATTATTTGTATCTAAACAGTGAGGATGAAAGAATATTAGGATAAATGTATATGAACACCATCTCAGTTCGGATGGGACGAAAAACCGAGGTCCCATGTTCACATTGGCGTGCACATAAAGTAACCCTTGGCAGCTGGAATTCGATATAAGAGTAGGCTGTACAGAGCGCCGCTGTCCGGGCATAATGGCATATGCCCGTCTTCATTAGCTTTATCAATTTAAGGTCTGATATTGAGTCAAATGGCGTGGTTTCGATTCCCAGGGGTTTCGATTCCTCACTGAGCTACCGGGGCTCTTTAATAAATGTTGTTATGTAAGAGGGGGGGGGGGAGGTGGATGGCTGAATGGTTAGCACGTGTGCGCTGTATCATAAAGTCTGTCATTGAGTCAACTGGCAGGGTTTCGATTCCCCGGTTGTGCGTGACAAGGAGTATGGTCGCCTGTCCAGTATCGTGGGTTTTCTCCGGGTCCCCCAGTTTCCTCCCACTGCTATTTTTTCTTTAATTTTCCGGTATAACACAACATATGTTGAAATTAAAACTTTTATATAATACAGTAATTGGCTTTGGCTGTATAATATCCACAAACAAACCATTCGGCTATCATACATAGGTGTATGTACAAATGTACAATCATTATGTGACCTATATGTATGATTTTAAATTATATTCTTTTTCTTTGTTGTGTTATTAGTTATCTTTGTAATTTAATTCATTATTTTTGGGGAGAAAGAAGGGTTATTTCGATGACTTTAATTTTATTATTTATCTTTGTAATTTAGGGGCCATGGTGGCTAAGTGAGTAAAACGTTGGCTCGCTAATCCGTGTACATGCTGGCGTGCACGTAAAAACGACATTTCATTTCATTTCATATCTTTTAATGTTTTATATGATGTATAAATGAATGGTCCTATTGTGAGTCTATTCTAAACCTCTGGCAATCTAGATGTTACAATTTCTATATATGGACAAATACAGGACATACTCGACCACGATGTCTTTGTATCTACTTTAAAATCATGTCATATGTATCTACTTGTATTCGAGAACATTAAAACCACATCATATCTTTTGAAAATATCCTATACATTTAACAGAAATGAACTTGGGTGTAACGTTGTAATTTTCTGCACCGACTGGGCTAATGAAGACGGGCATGCGCTATACATACAGTATGTGGGAATTTTATCCGGACAGTGGCACTACGGCCCACTCCTATACCAACTGTCAGGGGTTCTTTTACGTGCACGCCAATGTGTATATCGGTGTATCGTACCATCCGAACGACTAGACACTGTTGCTTGTCATGCCAACACCAATTAGCGAACCCGAAACCTTCCAGTTAGCGAGCCATAGTGTCCCACTCACTGAGTCACCACGGATCCTACCTGTAAAAGAGAGCTTAAAATATGCTTTGAAATGTCAGTCGATTGTATTGGTCAGTTGAAAGAGCGAGCTGACTTTTTTTTATCCACTGTTTTCAGAAATATTCACAAAGACATCGTTCTGGAACTGATAAGCTGAAACACGAAATCAAGTTTCAAAATGGCAACTGGTAGGTAAAATAACATCACACATTGTCGTTCGTTTGTTAGTAGTAATATCGCCGACAAAATATGATCATTCGGCCTTTTTGATAGTAAAGTCTAAATATTAAAGCCGCCGGCACATTTCGTGAAGGTCGCCAGATGTAAATAGGGTCAGAGCACGTGATTGTTAACGAGACGGTGGGTTAGGGTTAGGTCTAGGGTTAGCGCTAGTCCTGTTTGTATCTCGTGACATAATCTGCAGGTGACCTTAATATTTAGACCTAACTGTTTATTGTAGAGTTCAATGAAATTATATACAACGAAACGAAATTTGCCTTTCTTTTAAATAACAATTGAGATTGACTAGAGATCATGTTTAATCAGAATGTAAACAGCAGAGTTTATTTATTTATTTAAACATACATTATGCAAGAGCTAAATCTGCTATTGCAGGTCTTTCTTTAGGCCGGAAATGTTATCTAAATTATTAATTAGACATTAATTAACTTATCCACACCATAATCAATGCTCGATGCCATCGCTAGCCTGCGATATTTACTGGATAAGAATCCGATTTGGTGCTCAACTTTCATTCATGATTAAATCATGAAATGGATAATGGAGACTATGATTTTTATCGTAGCGACTTTAGTAATGATGATCGAGAATAGACCGAAAATTCAATCGCTAAATTCTCGGTTCGGAGTGGAGTAATTTGACTGAATTTTTCAGCAAATTCCCTTTACATTATTCAGTTTTTAACTATAATAGTGAGAACTGCCAGCTTTTTATCTAATCTCCTATAATGTATCTTTAAGTTTTATTTATTTATTCATATTCAAATAACGTGACGCGGTGATGTATGTTGGAACGTCCCTACAATAGTGTGCTTTTACTGTAACATTTTGATTTAATGTTAGGAATTTATTTCGATTTCCGTTTTAATTTTGTATCGTCTAGACTGTCTATATATAATTTTGCTACGCAGTTCTCCAGTACACTACCGTACCTTTTAATGTTTCGATTGTGCTATTGCAGGTACAGGACGTAAACGGAAACATTCCGCTACTGAAACGAGTAGTTCTGCAAAATTATTGAAGATCAGCAGAGAGTTAATGCCTCTTTTGGACAAAGCAAAAATTTGTCGAGAATATTCGTTTCTTGTACAACAACTCAATGTCAAGTATTTGACCGACGACTTGTTTTCTGAATCTATAATTGACGATGATGATATGGAGTCTGTACAGATAGAACTGACTAATAACGGCACAAAGGCAGCCACAAGAAAGCTCTTAGACATCTTATGCCATAGAGGAGAAAAAGCCTTTACTGTTTTTCTGGATGTGCTGTACCAAAATGGTTACAAAACAGTTAAAGAACGACTTGAATTAGGTCAGAATTTAACAGTTTAACTGTAATTTAATTTTCAATGACTTGTGAAACTATGAGCCTATGTGTACAAGCAAATTACTGAACTGTGAAATGCAGTTCATGCTGTAATTAAAAACACTGAAAACAAATTTGGATTTAAAGCTGCCTTCTTATGTACAAATACAAACTCTGTGATTTGATGATATTTTGAATAAAACCATTATAGTAAAATTATTTTTTGTAAGGCATTTAGTGACGGGAAAAGCAAGATAACAATCACTCTAGCAAAGCAACTTAAATAGATCCTTAAAGTTTTGAACGTAGACAGACTATCCTCTCGCATATTCACATAAGATAGCTAAGCAAAGCGTTGACCAAATGTGACCAGAAGAATCCTGCAGGAAATCCGATCTCTATCATGATAACAAGCATGAAAAGTCCGTTGAAACTGTTAGGAAAAGGGTCATAAATCTGGTACGAAAGGTCGCGGAATGTTAAATATTGGTAGGGCTCGTCCTCTAATAACCCCAATGCGCCACGTTATTGTTTTGAAAAATTCCGTTAAAACTTTAGCTTCTGTCTTGTTCCTGGGTTTTTTTGGCAAAGAAGTGATAACTCTGAAACGGTAGACCTTTCACCCTCTCATGTCCTAAGCGCTTCAAACCAATTTTTGTAAATAATTTGTTAAAAACTACATGTATAATCTCTATGACATTCGTCGATTTTTTTTTAGCAAAAGAGACATTAGGCCTATTCCTGAACGGAAAGCCACGCAACATTTGTCTTTTCGCGACCACATTGCTTCACGTCACAAACTAGCGTTAAAGAGAAATCGCGATGTGAGAATTACAAGGGCAGTAATTCAAAAATGGAAAATCGGAATAAGGTGAAATTCGATAGGGATAATCTGCTGGTGGTATCTTCAAATCATCAAATTTGACAAAACAATCCGCCAAAAACTCTAGTCTCTATCGATTTAATGAACAATATTGTTGACGACGGACGGACAAACCGACGGGCCGACAGGGGCGACGAATATATCTGCAAAATATTTTAATTTTCTGGAGCGATGAGAATTAAACTCAGGATATTGTTTGTTTTCAGATCCTCCTGACGAGCTGACAATGAGTGATATAAAATCACACGAAGTCTGCCGTACAGGAACGTTAAGCGATGTAAAGAAGCTCATTGCAAAGCCAGAAGATGTAATCCAAAAGGATTCATCATCCAGGACACCCATATTTTATTGCTGCATTTCGTCGGTAGATTCTGTCAATAAATTAAAATATATCTTAGATTTAGGCGAAGAACTTGATGAAACATCTATTAAAGATTTAGTATACGCATGTTGTAAATTTGGTGAACTAGAAACCGTTAACTATTTGTTTAAATATCTAGGTGAGCGTTCGACTAAATGCAACTATGATGATTATGAAAGAATGCTTATATGCTGCGTGTTGTCCGAGAAACAAACGACAGAAAAAATACAGCTAATTGTAGGGAAGTCAGACGTTAAGAAAATAACTAAATATGTATTACATTTGGCATGTTTCTTCAGCACATTCGAGGTTGTTGATACGCTTACCAAGTTATATCCCGGTATAAATGTTAACGAACAATTGGACAATGGCTTCGTTCCCTTGCATTATTGCTATCTTTCGGCCATTGACTCCGTTAAAAAAATCCAGCTACTGGAGGCCAAGGGGGCCAAAATTGATATTCACGATGAAAATGACTTGTTTCTTAAAGCATGTGAGGAAGCTACGTTAGAAACCGTTGAATTGCTAGTTAAAGAAAATGGCGCAATTGTAAATTGTACAGATGAAATTGGCACATCGCCCTTGTTGTATTGTATCGCATCTAAAAAAGAACCTATCCGTAAAATTAATTTTTTAAGAGAAAAGGGTGCCATATTTGAAGACAAGTTGCTCGAGGGTCGTTCTGAAGATGAATTTATGTTGTGTGTGAGTTGTGAGATTGGTGCTTTAGAAACCGTGAAATATTTTGTTACGAAAGGTGTAAATGTTAACTGTCGTGACAGTAATGATCAAACACCCGCATTTTATTGTTGCCGTTCTAACGAGGGGCCAATAGAAAAATTGAGTAGTCTGAAAGACAGTGGAGCAAAGTTTAATGTCCTAGACATAGAACACAGGAGTTTGTTATACGTTGCTTGTTACGAGGGTGGGGTAGAAACGGTGAAATATTTAATTAAAAACCAACCAAATACATTTATAAACTTGGAAGACAAAAAGTTTAATACGCCCTTTACATGTTGCTGCCGATCAAAAGTCGATGCTTGCGAAAAACTTAAACATTTAAGATCTTTGGACGATGCTGTTATCAAAAATAAAGGAAACGAGGATAGATTATTACATGTAGCCTCTTCCGAAGGGGATCAGAGTATTCTTAACTTTCTTATAGACACCGAAAATGCTAATCGAGTAAATAACTTTGGTGAAACGCCGTTATTTATGAGTTGTCAATCAAAGAGACAGCCCTTTACGAAAACTAAACTATTACTGGAATCCAAAGGCGGGAAGCTTGATATAAGATATAAAGATGGCGATATTTTATTGCATGTCGCTTGTCGCTTCGGTAATCTGAGTACTGTAAAATATCTCGCGACGAAAATGGATTTAAAAGCTGAAAATGAGTTTGGGGAAACACCTCTTCAACACTGTAAACGTTCTAAAATTCAAAGAGATAAAAAAGTGTCATTTTTAGAAAAAGAAATAAGCAAACTAGAATCCATTACCCAACCCTAACCTTACTTATTTACGAATAATATCTTCCGTTTTTTTATTGACGTCATCTAAACGTAGTTCAATAAAGCTTCGATTTTTACTTTCACTTTTTACTTTTGTTAGATGTTATTCTGTATAGTTTATAATAAACAGGGCCCTATTTCAAGGAATCTTAACTAAAGATAAAATCCAAAGCACTAAAATCAACCTAATATTATCCAATCAAATTACTAAAATGTGGATTTTATCTTAGTTAAAATTTCGTGAAACAGGCCCCAGGTCTTAATTCGCCACTCACTTTGACCTTTAGGATTTTCTGTGCTGTTTTCGTAATGTTGAGTGTTTATGGAAAAGTAGGACGCTAAACCCCTAGCTTTCTTTTTTAAGGCAAATTCGGTTATACAGTATCAATAAAATAACAACAAAATAACTTTCTTATTGGAACTTATTTTCTAACTGTTTTGCTTGAAAAATGTTTATTTTCTTATATAAGATGCTGCTTCTAACTGTTTGCTCGAAAAGTGTTTATTTTTGTAATTGTGTATTTTTACTTATTAAATTTTATGTTTTCATTTTAAACTTTTTTCTATTCGTCTTTTCTGGAATTAATCTTTTTTGTTATAACAAACTTTCTAATAAAAATGTTCTTTGTTTTGGTAAAACAAAATTTGTTTATAAAGGTGTTTATCAATTAAAATTGTGAATTATGTGAGTGTAATATCCAAGTTTCTATGAATTGTCTTCCTCTTATCGAGTCACAGTTATATTGTGGACACCTCAGTGATAAGGGGGCAGGTGGTCGAATGGTTTAATGCATGCGCGCGGTTCATAGGGTGTGTCATTGAGTCAGGTACCAATGGCACGTTTCTCATTAAGTTTTGCGGGAGTCCGCTTATATCAATAAGACTATGCTTTTTGTTCTAGGCAGATAAAAAGAAAAATCCATTTTCTCATTCTGACATTTGTATACGAAGTGACTGACTTTGCGGCTTGTGGGTACGAAGCTGTCCACTAAACAGAGTTATTCGCCCTTAGAATATGGCGACGAAATTAAAGAATTTTCTTTTATTGTAATATTTTGATTTATTTCTCTCGACTTAGAGGTAGGTATTTTGTTGTTTTAGCTCACATAACTTGATTCATTACGAAGAAAATTTTTACCATGTGCTTTAGGGCCTGTAATGTTCATATCGGGGTCAGCGAATCATGGTTTTAACCAGGCCTGGCTGGTTCTAGCAATCATTAAATGCTTTTTTAAATTTTTGAATCTGACTAAAATTGAATATTAACTAGTTTTCAACCCCTCTCGCATTTAAGAAACCCACCAAAAATTCAAAATCGATTAAGAAATAAGAATGTTATTGCACTTTTATGACCCAAAATTGATCGATGTCAGTACAGTATACTGAGTCTTTTTTTTAAAAATTTACAAAAAAAGTGACCGAGGACAATTTCTCAGCAACCATTGAAGATATAGGCCTAGGCATCAAATTTTCAGGAAACATCCATCCAACCATTAACTATTTATTGGAATTTTTCAATTTGGGCTATATAATTTATTTCCTTTCATAGGGGTCTTTCTATGAGAAAAGCTCGCACCATTTTTGCCTTTTCCTGATAATTTTATTTTTTCCAAATATAAGAAATAATTATAAGTCGTAAATGCATTTCTGGATGTCCAAACCACACTCGACACAAACTCTGTTTTTGTCTCAACACGAAAAGCGTCAGGTCGTCGATGTTGGTGTTCATACAGGTACAACTTCCCGAAGTCGCGGAACAAAAACGGCACATTTTACAGTCAGTTTTTTTGACATTGATAAAAATAGTATCAGTGGCGCCTCTAGCGAGCTTTTGCATTGCTCCTGGTGCTTTCTTTTCTTTTTTTTAAATTACAAATTTTTAAGTCGCTTTTTTTTATAGTTATTTTTTTCTTCCACCCATTAGCCAATAGTCTGTTGTCCCCATTCAATAAATAGATCAAAGGTGGATGCGGGTCTTCAATATAAGTAATATTAGATATACTGTTATTAGATTTCAATTTTCCATATACATGTCATGTATGTAACTGTATAGGCTAATTAAGATAACTAAATATGTACATTTTCTCAATCTCATTGATAAATCATGAAGCTTTGATTGGATCCCTGAAACTTAAATCTGACAATCAAGAAATTAATTTTGTCATTCCCTTGTATATTGGATCATATTGTAGTACCTCCATACATTACCAGGGACAGGCTACTACTGGTACATTGTAAAAATTTTGAGATACGAATTATAAAAGAATGGATAGACGGTAAATTTTGTTTATTCGTATTATTCAGATTGGGGTCAGCCGAGGTGGATATCGGTAATCGAGATATTGTACGTGTTCACATCGTTCCGAATTAAACATAAATTATACAAGCACTAAATCTGCCTATATTGCAGGTGTTTCTTTAGGCCTGAAATGTTATATAAACTATTAATAAGACATTTATTAACAAAACAAGACTATCAACTCTCAATGGCATCGGATACTCAAGATTTTAACGAGATTAGAACGGTTCGTCATTTAACAATTTGATTTAAAAATGGAAAGGTGAGACTAAGTCTCGAATATACCAGTGCCCTGGTTACCATAATGCACACATCTTGTCAAAATTACAAACAGTGATAACTTGACTCAGAATGAAGTAATTTGAATGAAATCTTTAATACTGTTATTTTACCTTTACTATGACAAGAACAGTCAATTCTTTATCTAAATCTTACATAATGTATCTTTAGGAATTTCAACATGAGACAGTCGCAGGTAGACAACTACATAAAACATGTAAGGTACGGTAACCAAATAAAGGATACCCTGTACCATTGTTCAGTTCTACACCATCCCGGGACATGTTATGCTGTTTCCTATGAGGAACATTTTGCTTGGACACAGTTACGAGTCGTCCACGTTCTAATGTGTTTTCTTGTTAAATTTGTGAACTGTATATGTATAATGATTTGAATCACATTGTGACACCTACATGTAGGTAAAGTATAATGACTACAGTTGTCCTACTCAGAACTACAGGAGGGTGGATGATAAATTTCTCTTCTATTCCTTTTCAGGGACTTGAATGTCCAATTGGTTTAACATGTGCGTATTGTCTCATACATGTAAAGTCTGTCATTGAATAAAGTGGTGTGAATTCGATGACAAGGAGTAGGACAGTCTGCCCAACCACATTGACTTTCTCTGGTTCCTCCCATTGCTAAAAGATCCTTAGGTGCAAGCAAATTATTGAAATAAAATTGTAACATATGTTAGTCACAGAATTACCTAGTTTGTGACGATTGTCAGTCCTTTCATCGGGAGTGACGTTGGTGATTAACGGTAAATGTTAGCTTGGTCAGTCATTTAATGATTTAATTATTAAATGGACGACTGTTTAATCCAAGCTGTATCCAAGCCATCTGAGTTGATTTTGGGCTTGTTATGTAATTAAAGGTCTATTTAATAATTTCTATAACATTTGAAAGACAGAAATGCAAGAGGCATATTTAGCTCTTAAACTACATTATGCAAGAGCTAAACCTGCCCATTGCAGGTCTTTCTTTAGGCCTGAAATGTTATATAAAGTATTTATTAGACATTAATTAACTAATCCAGGTGATAGTCAACTCTCGTTGGCATGGGATTTCTCCAAAATTAAATAGATTAGAACGGTTCAGCCATATTTTGATTTTTAAAATTTAAAAATAGAGGAGTGAGACTTAGCTTTGAACAACCAGTACGGTGGTTGAAATTATTGCACACGTCTCTTGTCAAATCTTCACTCGCAATAGAGTTATTTGAATGAAATTTTCAAATTATTCATTTTACATTATCTATTTTCGAACTATTATAGCAAGAATGGCCAGTTCTTTATCCAAATCTTACATAATGTATCTTTAACTAATGTATCTTTAATATTATATTTATTTTAGATAGCCCTACTTTTTTAGAAAACAAAACATGGATTTGAATAATGACAGAATAATAAATAAGGAAGACTCAAAAAGCCGAGAAAAAGGCAAAGACGGAGATCATGAGCCACATAGCAGTCAATTTAGAATGGATGCTGAAACTAGAATTCCGATGACAGATTCGGATAGAATTTTACTTGATGCTGAAACTAGAATTCCGATGACAGATTCGGATAGAATTTTACTTGAGAATAGAATAGAACAGGAATTAGAAAGAATGAGAAGAGAAACTACAGTAGATTCCAGACCAAGTAGCAGTGCTGAAACTAGAATTCCGATGACAGATTCAGATAGAATTTTACTTGAGAATAGAATAGAACAGGAATTAGAAAGAATGAGAAGTGAAACTACAGTAGATTCCAGACCAAGTAGCAGTGGTAACCTACAAGATGGACATAGAATCGAGGAAACTGATAAAATATCACTTGAAGATAGAATCGCTCTAGAATTGGATGAAAGAGTGAAGGAAGCCACGAATGATGAAGATGGCCAGGCTGGACAAAAAGATATCTATAAATGTGAAATTTGCGATGAAATTTTCCTAAATGAAATAGAACTGGATACCCACAACAAAAAACATGATCACGCCAGTAAAGATTCGTATGAGTGTGGAATTTGTGGTAAGTCGTACAACCAACCCGCACGTCTTACGCGGCACATGGTGATACATACTGGTGAGACCCCTTTTAAGTGTGATGTCTGCAATAAGGCCTTTAATTTTAAGAGCGTTCTCGTACGACACCAGAAAATCCATACCGGTGATCAGCCCTTTAAATGCAGTTATTGTGGCAAAGCGTTTTTTCACGATTACGGATTACAGAACCATATCAAAATCCACACAGGAGAGAAGCCATACGCTTGTACCGTTTGCCCCAAGTCATTCATACAACGATGCGACCTGAAGAAACACATTCGTATTATTCACACCGGGGAGAAACCATACTGCTGCGACATATGTGGGAAATCGTTCAGTCAGAGCAACAATCTACAAAAACACGTCCGCGTCCACACCGGAGAAAAGCCTTACAAATGTGAGATTTGTCAGCGATCGTTCAGTGACCGGAGCACGGTTATGAAACATCAGAGAACGCACACCAAAGAGAAGCCATTTAGATGTGAGATTTGCGGTAAATCGTTCAGTCAGAGCGTTTGTCAAAGGGTACACTTGAGACTTCACACGGGAGAAAAACCCTACAAGTGTGATCAATGTGATGAAGCATTTAGTATCAGAACATATTTAAACAGACATGTTAAGGCTGTGCATTATGATACAACACCAGCTGATTAATTAGTGACTCAGTTATCTGCCCTTAGATTTAATGGATGGCCTTTATGAGTGAAAGGAATCACTCTCTTTATGTAAATGGTGTGTATTATGATACCACAACCGCTGATTAATTAGTGACTCAGTTATCTGCCCTTAGATTTAATGGATGGCCTTTATGAGTGAAAGGAATCACTCTCTTTATGTAAATGGTGTGTATTATGATACCACAACCGCTGATTAATTAGTGACTCAGTTATCTGCCCTTAGATTTAATGAATGAACCTCCTCAATGATGAAAGGAAATGCCCATTATGTGAAGACTGTATTATGATACATGTACCACACCCACTGATTAAGAAGTGTATCTTCTCTTAGATTTAATGAATTCCCTGCATGAATGAAATGAAACCCTCACCTTATGTGAAGGCTGTGTATTATTATACCACACCCACTGATTAATTAGTGACTCAATTATCTCCCCTTAGAATTAATTAATGGCTGGTATATATTTTGTATACATGTGTATATGTAGTGTAGATCAACATGTGAAATCCTAACAGCTGATTAAAGGAGATGAACCATCTATTTTTACAGTCATGATACATGTACCACACCCACTGATTAAGAAGTGTATCTTCTCTTAGATTTAATGAATTCCCTGCATGAATGAAATGAAACCCTCACCTTATGTGAAGGCTGTGTATTATTATACCACACCCACTGATTAATTAGTGACTCAATTATCTCCCCTTAGAATTAATTAATGGCTGGTATATATTTTGTATACATGTGTATATGTAGTGTAGATCAACATGTGAAATCCTAACAGCTGATTAAAGGAGATGAACCATCTATTTTTACAGTCATTTTTTGGGAAGACACTAGTATAGATCAACCTTGAATGCTTGAATCTTGAACAAAGAGTCTTTTATTGTGCACCTACATGTAACAGCTGAAAATCGCTTCCCATAATTTCCATTTTTTATTGATATGTATATCACTGACAAATATTTAAAAGTCATTGTGTAATTGTATATGGTACATGTACTTAGAGTCTTACACTCTAAATCTAGTACTCTACATGTACATGTACAGGGGGTTGGATGGCTGAATGGTTAGCACGTGCCCGCTGTATCATACAGTCTGTCATTGAATCAACTGGCGGCATTTCGATGCCCTGGTTGTACATGACAAGGAGTAGAGTTGCCTGTCCAACCATGTGGGTTTTTTTCCGGGTTCTCAGGTTTCCCCCCCACAGCTAAAGACCCCTACACACAAGCGAATTATTGAATAAAATTGAACCTTGTGTTAGTCCCAAAATGACCTAGTTTGTTTCAAGTGGACTTTAAACCCTATTTCTCTCTGTTTCTACATGTACATACATGTATTGTACCGCTGCCTTATGAATGAAAGGAATTACTCACCTTTATTACACCCCCACCCTCATGCTAATTAATTAATGACTCGATCAGTTATCTGCCCTTAGATGGTATTTAATTTGTAAATAGCAAAGACATATAGTTCAACATCGGCTGATTAAAGGAAATACTCCACCTATTTCTATAATATAGATACTTTAATTGACATTTAGCTGCATCTATTCAACCATGAGTTTGTGAGGTGCACCATTGTCTGCATTTTGTGTTACATCTTACCAATCTGATTAAAATACAGATCTTTATTTCATTTCGTTTTTTTTTATACTTTCGATGGCCTACACTACAAGAAGATCTGACAAGTTGTACTCGAAGGTCGTGTCATAGGTCGTACAAGTGGCTTTTGACCCTGTAACGTCAGAAATTGATTAATCAATCCGTGTGGACGTTTCTAGTGGTTTACCCACAATTCCTTGCATGGCACGCCAAGAAGTCGCTGTAACAGACCGTTTCATTGGCTTATCCCTCACTTCAACCAAAACGCTGCTAATATAACAACACTTCCAGATCCTAATATAGTAAAGACAAGTAAAACTACATTTTGAACTATAAAGATAGGTTGCCAGGCAACGAAACATACGCCCACAGCAGCTAAATCGTCCGGGCAGTCAACGAGAGGTGTCGCATATTTTTACTTCTTTCGGTAATGAAACATTTATAATACACTAAAATCTGATTAAGAGCAACAACTCAGAAAACCATTAGAATTTGTTTGGTTTTTATAAAGTTCTACCCCATGCTAACGTTTTGTATACAAAACTTTTAATACTGTATCATGAATTTAGCTGTTCCAAGTCATAAAAATTCATTGAAAATCAATATACTTGTTAGTCTCAAATCTTCAACTCTGTGTATCAATCTGCAGTCAATCGGATATTAACTTTGGCCTCGAGAGCGTCCACAAGATTTTTTGAAGTGATCAAGGGCCATAACTCTGGCAGTAATTATCGGAAATCGCTGAAAATCAATAGGCTTCTTCGTCTCATGACCTTAAACACTGTGTATAAATTTAAAGTCAATCGGATATTAACTTTAGCCTTTAGAGCATCCACAAGGTTTTTAGAAGTGATCAAGGGCCATAACTCTGGCAGTAATTATCGAAAATCACTGAAAATGAATAGACTTCTTCGTCTCATGACCACATTTCAATGTGGGCGTATAAAAAACGAAACGAAATAGGATGTGTTTTAATCAGATTGACATCTTACATGTATGTATTTTAATCAGATTGACATCTTACATGTATGTATTTTAATCAGATTGACATCTTACATGTATGTATTTTAATCAGATTGACATCTTACATGTATGTATTTTAAATAGAAAATGAAATGCTGTTTAGATTGTATTTTGTATTATTAAATTACTAGTTGTAAATACGCTCGACCTGTAGTTCTCAATATATTATTAAAATGGTGGTTTATATCTCATTGCCTAAACACCTTGCTTAATCCTTAACAAATTGAATATCCTAAATCCCCATACTTTCTGGGTTACCCTTCTGTCTGTATGATGTCCAAGAATAAATTCAAGTACAACGTAAATTACTGGAATTTAGGGAGGAATGCTGATTGACATGTACATAGTCATAAATCTGTATCATTTATATACATGTAACTCGAAGTAATTGGTAAAACAATTTGGTCTGATTCCGTCTATTCTAGAAAGAGTTATTTCCCCTTGATTTTGCCCTAACAGCGGTGCTACGGTCTACTCTTATATCAAATTCTAACTATCAAGGTTTCTTTAATGTGCACGCGGTACTTAGGGTTCCTCGTTGTCCATTGCCAATCCCACTGTCCTGCACCACTGACAAGGGGGAACCACACCAGAAAACTGTTGGATCACACTCTACTGATGATTTGTTCTGTCTTTTTGTTGCTGTGAAGATATCCTGCATTGTCTAAAGTAATATAAGAGTAGCTTTGAAGACCTGGTACCTAACTACTTTTGGATTCAACAACAATTGGGCAATTGTCTAAAGTAAATCGGGGGGGGGGGGTGGTGGATGGCTGAATGGTTAGCGTGTGCGCGCTGTATCATAAAGTCTGTCATTGAGTGGACTGGCGTGGTTTCGAATCCCCAGTTGTACGTGACAAGGAGTAGGGTCGCCTGCCCAACGTCGTGGGTTTTCTCTGGTACCTCCGGTTTCCTCCGACTTCTAAAGACCCCTATGCGCAAGCGAATTATTGAAATAAAATTAAACCATATGTTAGTCCCGAAATGACCTAGCTTGTGTCGAGTGGACGTTAAACCCCATTTCTCTCTCTCTCTCTAAAGTAAATCAAATATTCCAATATATTTGATATGGCACATAAATGAAGACTTAAACTGTATCACCCTCATGGAAAGTGGACTAACAACTAACATCCCCCCTCCCCCCTTTCAGGAAAGAAAAAGAACAATAAATAGTAAATAAATCTGATTAAAATACAGATCTATATTTCGTTTCCTTTTTTTTATTCTTTCGATGACCTCCACTACATGACGATACGATCAGACCGGTTGTAGTGATAGGTCGTGCCAGAGGTCATACAAGCGGTTTTTGACCTTGTGACGTCAGGGTTGATGTTTCTAGTGAAATACCCACAGTTCCGTGCATCACATGCCAAGAACTAGCTGCATCAGACCGTTTCATTGGCTAATCCCTCACATCAACCAGAACGCAGGTTATATAACAACTCTTCCAGATCCTAGTGTAGTAAAGACAAGTAAAATGATATTTTGAACTTTAAGAAACGAAATAGGCTCTGTATTTTAATCAGATTGCTAGTAAATAAGACCAGTCTGTTTATATAAAAAAAAGGAGAGTTTATTATTAAATCTTTAGACAGCTCACATGACCTGATAAAAATCTCAATATTTAAAACAATCAAATGTATTTAAAACATTTTTGTTTATCGTGGGGAAGTCTCGTCTTGAAAAGCACAGAATCTACGCGGTATTGAGTGAAAAGTAACGGCATGTAGCCGTAAACTTTCACAAAAAAGTTAATACACTGATGTCTCTCTTGAAAGTGAGAATCGTCACTTGATAAAGTCTGTGGACAGCCTGGACATCGGAACGTCCATCTTGATGTCACCTACAATGAGAAAGGGATATATTATATAAATATTAATAAAACAAAATGAAATGGTTTAATGTCCTACTGTTTTGCACTGACTTGGCAAACACATACGGACATATGCCATACATACAATATGCTATGATGGAAATTTTGCATTACAGCTGCATTGCAGCCTACTCTTATTTCAAATTACAACTGTCATGCCCATGTGTATACAGGACCCAAAGAGGTCAATTACAACTTTAATTCGTCCCATTTGAAAAACCAAATGCAGTACCATGCCAGGCCCTCTGTCCTGCACCACTGACACGAAAATCGAGAAATCTTCTGGTTAGCAAAATGAAATGAAATGAAATGGGGTTTAACGTCCTACTGTTCTGCTTCTAACTGGACTAATGAAGACGGGCATACGCCATACAGTGTGCTATGAGGGAAATTTTGCCCTACGGCCTACTCTTATATCGAATTCCAACTGTCAAGGGATCTTTTATGTGCATGCCAATGTGTACACGGGACCTCGGTTTTTCGTCCCATTCGAACAACTAGACAGCTGTCCTTGTCAGGCCCTCCGTCCTGCATCACTGACAAGGGGGAACCACACCGGAATCCTGGTTAGCAGGCCAATATCTTACTCACTGAGCCACAACTCCCTAAACACTAAACATCCATTCAACACAATTTGGGTCAACCCACCAACAAATTAGAATCAAGTTGGCCTATTGATTAATACGAACCAAGCTGTCCCAATTATTAATACGAACCAAGCTGTCCCAATGATTAACACTAACAATGTTGGTCCATTGATTAATACTAACACTGTTGGCCCATTAATTGAAACTAACCATCTTGACACATTGATTAATACTAATCAAGCTGGCCCAAAGATTAAAGATGGGTTCCCAGAAAAGTATTTATCGGGTGGTTATTTCCAATAAAAGTATGGTAATTTTGGTATATATGGAAAGTAGAGATATCCAATCTTACTAGAAAAATACTGGATTCCCCGAAAAACACTTATGGAGCGTATACAGGACAAAAATGTAAGGGTTCCCCTAATCAACAGCCCGACGATTAGGAATTTCTGCACGCTTGATGTACAAGTTGATAAACTTTATGGAAAGTTAGACGTACAACACTTTGAGATAAAGACGCGGGTAGTGGATAATCCGAGAATTTAATTAGGATTCGATATTTGTAATAAATAGTAAGCGATTAAAGACAACATCGTCTTATATATACAATGAATTCTCCTCTGACTTCCAAGAGAGGTAAGTCACGTGACATAAACATGACCTGGTTTGATCGAATTTTTATAGCAGGACATTCCTTCGCAATTACAATGTTTGAGAAGGATTTGAAGCAAAGTTATGACAAATTAATTAGTTTGAATATGTTTTTAGTCCATATATACTATTAAATCACCCAGTATGTACGCGGGAACCCATCTTTAATACTAATCAAGTTGGCCCATCAATTAACACAAACATGTTGGGCCAACAATTAACACTAACCAAGTTGGACCATCAATTAACACTAACCAAGTTGGCTCAATGATTAACACTAACCAAGTTGGCCCAATGACTAACACTAACCAAATTGGCCTATGATTAATACCAACCATTTTAACACTAACAATATTGGACAACAATTAATACTAACCAAGTTGGCCCAATGATTAACACTAACCAAGTTGGCCCAATGATTAATACCAACCGAGTTGGCCCAATGATAAATACCAACTAAGTTGGCCCAATGATTAATACTAACCATGTCTAATACTTACCTTTATAGGAGGTTTTCTGGTTATATGTGAGACTAGGAAATTCATGGCTATATCTTCACAATTAGTATATTCATCGACTTTATCACGGATAGCTTGTGGCATACTGTACGTATATAAATAGGCATAGTACTGAAATTATAAAATAACACTATGAAATATCACAGCAGAAGTAAAAGATGGCATGTATTGGACTATCCAGTTAATACAAAATGATAGTAGTCTGAAACCATATTAAAACTAACGGTAAATAGAGTTGTCTCCCTTCAATTAGATTTCCTCAACCAGGCGTAAATATAACGTCCTACACATGCTGCGATCGTATGTTCGAAGAATAGGTTGGGGAAAATACCTCCAAGGCGTTATATTACGCCCTACACACAGTGAGTGGCAGTTGTCCAGAATGTTATATAACGACCTACACAGTTAACGGGTTAACTAATGTTCATTTTATATGATCTCTGACCTATCTTCTGCTACTCCAGTCAAAAACTATATAGACAGTTCTGAAGTGTAGCGCATTGACATTAGACTATATTCAGCTACCAAATATTCATTAATTTAATCTCTGACGCATCTTATGCTACTTCAGTCAGAAACCATATAGACAGTTCTGAATTAAGACTATTCAGCCACCCAAATATTCATTAATTTGAACTTTAACCTACCTTATGATAAAAGGCTGCTCCAGTCAGCACCATCGACAGTTCACATGAATAATTAGAATTATATAACCAACTTTTATTCTTCACATCCCATGTGTGAAATCGTCCTGGAAATCCTACCACCCTGTCTCGTTCTTCACGCCACACTCTGTTCATACAAAATAAAAATAATTAGGTTAAAGGCCACGCCCATTTGATTTTCATTCTTTAAAATTTTGCATCAAATTACTTACATGAAACCAAATGTGTTTGACATTGAGGTCCACTAACAAAAAACTAAATATATGTTTGACACTGATGGCCACTTTTATGAAACTAAAATAAGTTTGATTCGACGGATTACGTGAAACCAGATTACATGAAACCAAATAAGTTTGACGTCCACTAACAAGAAACTAACAATAATCCTGATGGATTACATGAAACCAAATATAGGTTTGATACAATCTGATTAAAATACAGATCTATATTTCGTTTCGTTTTTTTTTATACTTTCGATGGCCTACAGTACATGAAGATCTGACAAGTTATAGTGGGAGTTCACATCAGGGGTCAAATATGCGGCTTTTGACTCTATGGCGTCAAAAAATCAGTGTTGACTTTTCTAGTGGTTTACCCACAGTTCCGTACATCAAAAGGCCAAAAAACTTGCCACAACAGACATTTTTATTGGCTAATCCCTCACATCATCCAGAACATGTCAATGCTAACAACTCTTCCAGATCCTAGTGTTGTAAAGACAAGTAAAACGAAATTTTGAACTATAAAAACGAAACGAAATAGGATCTGTGTTTTAATCAGATTGGGTTTGATATTGACGTCCACTTACCTGAAACCAAATATAATCTCATCATGTCTTAAATGTGCATCATCATCAATACTCAACACAGCTTCTGTTTCTATTATATCAAACGGTAGGAAGCGGTTGTTGAGACTATTCTTGGCAGTCTTTACAATCTGAAATTAAAATAAATACACGTATGAATGAATAAAGCTCATCCACACAAGGGAGCTGTAGTGGCTCAGTGAGTAAGGCAATAGCGTGTTTTCCCCTTTATCGGTGGTGCAGGATAAAGGATCTGGCAAAGAACAGCATTTAGTTAGTCCGATATATGTACCCGCTGTCCTGCATGTAAAAAGAACTCTTGAGATTTGGCATTGCAAATAAGAGTAGGCTAGGCTATACCACCCTGTCTGGATAAAAGATTTTCCTCATAGCACATTGCATGGCTTTAACTGACTTCACGATCCTGGATGGTTCAAAAAGTAGGCCTTTAATCCCTATTTCATTTTATTTCTGTACATTGGGACATCATTTTCAGGAAGGTAACCCTTTTTGAAAATTACTTAAAGAGAGATTAAAACTCCTTTATAATTTGAAGGATTTGCTCTTTTATAGGTATTTTTATACGCCCACATTGAAATGACTTGAACAGCTAAATCCAGGATGTTAAAAGTTTTGTATACTAAACATTAGCATGGGACAGAACTTTATAAAAACCAAACAAATTCTAATGGTTTTCTGATAATTATTTAATGAGTTGTTACTCTTAATCAGATTTTAATGTATCATAAATGTTTAATTACCGAGAAAAGTAAAAATATGCGACAACTCTTGTTGACTGCCCGGACGATATAGCTGCTGTGGGCGTATGTTTCGTTGCCTGGCAACCTATCTTTTGTTTTGGTGATAATTATACTTGCATTTAAAATACATTTTGAAGATATTAACTTAGTTATACATATCTCTAAAAGGTGACACTCCCACCCCCACCCCAAAAAACAAAACAAGAAAGATTACCAGTATTACATTTTTTATAGATGACCTGATCTGTGATATACTTACATTTAGTGGTACTCCTATATCTGGCCAGCGCAACTCTACAGATGGAGGTATCTGGTTATTCCAGACTACAATAACTCGATTTAAGAAAGGTAGGTATTTTAATCTCTTTAAAGCGTTCATTAACACTTCTTCTCTTTCATAGGTCAGCATCACAACTAAAATAAATACACAGAAATTAAATATAAACTTTAGAGGTCAATGTAATAAAATAGATATACAGAAATTAAATATAAACTTTAGAGGTTTGTATCACAACTAAAATAAATACATAGAAATTAAATAAACTTTAGAGGTCAATGTAATAAATTAGATACACAGAAATTAAATGTAAACTTTAGAGGTTTGCATCCCAACTAAAATAAATACACAGAAATTAAATATAAACTTTAGAGGTTAACATAATAAAATAGATACACAGAAATTAAATGTAAACTTTAGGGGTTTGCATCCCAACTAAAATAAATACACAGAAATTAAATATAAACTTTAGAGGACAACACCATAAAATAGATACACAGAAATTAAATATAAACTCTAGAGGTCAATGTAATAAAATAGATACACAGAAATTAAATATAAACTTTAGAGGTCAAAATAATAAAATAAACACACATAAATTAAAGATAAACTCTAGAGGTCAACATTAAAATAGATACACAGAAATTAGATAATTTTTGAGAAAGCATCACACCTAAATTAGAGGTCTGCATCACAAATAAAATAGACACACAGATATTAAATATAAACTTTAGAGGTCAGCCTAATAAAATAGATACACAGAAATTAAATGTAAACTTTAGAGAAAGCGTCACAACTAAAATAAACAAACAGAAATTAAATATAAAACTTTAGAAGTCTGCATCACAACTAAAATAAACACACAGAAATTAAATATAAACTTGAGAGGTTTGCATCACAACTAAAATAAACACACAGAAATTAAATATAAACTTTATACATCTGCATCACAACTAATATAGATACACAGTTTGAATATTTTTACATGCACAGTTTTGAGGCAAAGACAATTTGACAAGAAAATGCACCACAATTGCAAAATTGGCCATAGATTACTTAGCAATGTACATACATGTAAGTGTATCAAAAATTGTCACAGAAAGCTTGTCACATTGTTCATATACACGATCAAACAAGCCATTGCCATCACAAATTCAGCAGCAAATGAAATGGGGTTTAACATCCTACTTTTCTGTACCGATGAGTACGCCATTCAGTGTGCTATGAGAGAAATGTTACTCAGACAGCAGCCTGCTCTTATTCAGAATTTCAAGTCAAGGGATCTTTTACGGACAATGTTCCTTGCCAGGTCCTTCATCCTGGACCAGTGACAAAGCGGAAACCTAACCAGAAAATCACAACAACTCTCTTGGTCAACACAGGGATTCAATCCCTGGGGTGTCCTGGTTAACGAGTCATTGCTTTATTCACTAAGCCACCATGGCTCTCAATTCGGCAACACGTGTATTGCATATATTATCATTTACACAAGAAATGTTTTTTCCTGTTAAATGTGAATTTGTCAGCAAAATGTATTTGTATAACATAAAGGTTTAGCTTTAGTTGAGTGAAAGAATATTTTATGGTCCTACATGTACGGCCATTGATCCAATAAGAAACATAATAATATAACTTACTGGTAAACTGTTCACGTTGAACGTTTCCTCCCAACGACTCACTAAATTCCTTCCCAGCACCACCAACTCCATGACCTATAGGTCGATAACCAAAACCAGATCCTAAAATACAAGTAAACATATCATAAATGTCTGTTTAGATGAAGAACACAAGTTCTAGCCAACTCCATCTGATTAAAACACAGATCCTATTTCATTTTTTATAGTTTTAAATTTCATTTTACTTGTCTTTACTACACTAGGATCTGGAAGAGTTGTAATATAACCAGCATTCTGGTTGATGTGAGGGATTAGCCAATGAAACCGTTAATCAAATGTCTGACATTGCAGGGTCAAAAGTCACTCATGTGACCCCTGATGCGACCTCCCACTACAACTGGTCAGATCTTCATGTAGTGGAGGCCATCGAAAGTATAAAAAAAGAAACGAAATATATATCTGTATTTTAATCAGATTGTATCCAATTGAAGTTGAAACGATTGCTTTGTCATCCAATAATCAAGATCAAGCCTTGGGCCACACCAACAATTTAAATTGTAGGAACACCTATTAAAAATTCATCCTCCAATTTCTCCAGCAAAAAGACTAATTTAAAAACCAAAAGTTCTTTGTTGTTCTTCTCAAAAGATTTAAGCTCCAAATATTCAAGTTCTGAAATTTTAAATACACATGAATTGAGTAATCTATTTATTGATCGAGATCCCAAAAAACTAAAAATTAAATTGGTTTGGCTTTATTTATTAAAGCCTCAATGTTTTAGAAATCCAGTCATCAATTTTCTTTATTCAAATTTAACAACAAGTACGCCTAAATCGTGTTCTTTAGATATTAATCTAAACGAATTCCCACCCCCACCCCCCAAAAAAGATCAGATGCTATTCTGACCTCAATGTTCATGGATAGAATTAAGTTATCCTTCAGTTACTTGCTAACGTGTCCAAGAGTATAAAGATGGCAGCATCAGAATTAATTGGTTTTTAATCATTTTTGATATGCAATGTCAGCTCCCTTCAATGGAATTATATTAAGTAAAACTTACATGAAAGAAGTTTTAGTCCAAGAATTGTTAAAAGATAAAATAATAAAAACAAAATGTATAATAAACTTATGTAATATTTCATGAGTATTTTTCTGTTTATGATCTAATAAAATAAAATGGGGGTTTAATGTGATACTGTTCTCCTCCGACTGGGCAAATGAAGACGGGCGTACACCATATGAGGGAAATTTTGCCCAGACAGCGGCGCTACAGCCAACTCTAATAAGTGTACGGCAATGTATACACAGAACTTCGGTTTTACGTCCCATTCAAACGATTAAACATGCTGTCCCTGTCAGACCCCCCCCCCCCCCTTTCACAAACACCCACACAGTCCGGCACCACTGACAAGAAGAAAGCACGCCAAAACATCCTGATGAACTTTCTCGGCCAACACCGGGAGTAAACCTACGATCTCCAGGCTAGCAAGCCAGCGTCTTACCCACTTAGCTTCCTTAAGAAGATCTCAGGAACAGCTGCTGACATCATCTGAGAGTAAGAAAGAGGTCCTCAGTTTATCACGCCATCAGAACAACTAAATTCTTTTCCTGGCCAGACCCCCCTTCTCCTGTACCACTGAAAAGGGAAACTCAGGCTGGAAAATCCTGATGAAACTTACATGTACTTGGCTAGCACCAGGATCAAGCAAGGGACCTTGTTACTCACTCTGAGCCACCACACCTACCTCAGATGGAGGAAAACAGAGAATCTGGAGAAAACTCTACTCCTTGTCAATTATGTACATGGACAGACCTGGGTAATAATCATATCATGGTGTGGCGCATAAAATAGGTTGGGAACCCATGACTTATGAGGAATATTTTGCCCAGACAGCAGCAATAGAGCCTTGCTGTAACTCTTTTATACTTCCTCAATATCTAGCATCTGCAGTCAATAGGGGGTCAATGGGTTAACCTTGTAAACATTTCCTAGCGCTGTGGGGCGTAAAAAAAGGTTGAGAGAGAGAGAGAGCGGACTTGTAAATCTACGTGAATTACAAATGTATTTTTTTTAAAAATGCGCCCACAACGAATCTACAGGCCAGTGTTTTATACTTACCCAAAAATCTGGCATCTGCAGACAATAAGGGGTCAATGGGCGTGTATGGGTAAAGATGAAATGGGTCACCAGGTTGGTTAAAGGAGTCTCGGAAGAAGAACTTTGTGTAATTTCTCTTAAACTCTTCTGATGCAAACCTCTCCTCCTTGGGTCCAAGAAATTCATCTGTTTCCGGCTCCGTCTCGGGGCCGTTATATTTCAATGGAATAAAAGATGCGTTAAATACACTAGGCGCGGGTTCCGCCTTGACAGGCCGTGGAGGAATTTGAAGTCTGGTTCTTAGCACAGCTAAAGCACTGTCAATTATGTTTTCAGTGGTTGCAAAATATGTCTCCCAAATAAACCGACCACGATGCCGAAAAAATGAAATGTCATTGTCAGTGAACGTTCGCAGAAAGAAAAATATTTCTGTGACTCGCGCAGTAGGTAAAAACACCACAGCTTTGTCCCAATCCAGTATTTCCGAATATGGTAATGTCACATGGGTTCCTAATATTATTGGCACTGCCCCGTATTTAAGAGACTCTGAAAGTCGAGTTTGAAAACCTGTCGTCGACACAATTGAAAAATTATTTGGGGCAACCAAAATAGAAAAAGTTGATTCCTTCAAAATTTCACTTCGTTGTTCCTTTGTTCCACAAAGAGCCCATTCGGACATGACACCTTCTGGACTGCCTTTGTCGCACGACAGGGCAATATGCACTTCTTGGGGCATTTTGACTACCATGTCTTTTAAAGCTTGAACTATCTGTGTTTCTATGGATACAATGGTTGGAACATCGGACACACTTTTCAGTCGACGTCTAAACTGATTTTGATTATGTTGGTTGATTTTATACAACCCTTCATTAAAACTGTCAAAAAATTTACCCTGATTCTGAGGTGGAGATATAGACTGGCCTCTAAAAGAAATAAAATATTTTCGACGAACAGGGGCCAAGGGGGGTAACTCTTGCCACACAGGTCCATCTGCTAATTCTTCTATAAGTGGTGGAATTACCAGATCGAACCCAGTTCTATATACACTATCAATAAAAGCAGATTGCACGACAATCGCTCGTCCGGTATTTATACCACTTAAAATGTCAATATTATGGATATTACTGGCTAAATTTATGAGAACATGATTGCGTCCATCACCATGCCAATATGGAAGATTATGAAGCATGGATTCTAAAGCAGATTTATCAAAGTTTTGATTTTCGAGTTCACCCACAACTAAAATATAAATACAGGCAGAATAAGATTCTTCGGTTATGTAAGCATTTTTGCCAAACACCTTAATCACAGATGAGGCTACAAATTCATTAATTTCGAAGGAATCGGTCAACACTTCCTGGGAATTGTAAACAAAAATGGGGAATCTCGATACAAGGGAGCAGATGGAGTAATCAAAACATGTGTGCATGCGACACGATTGTGACAATATGGATGTCGGTTTTGGAATGATTTCATTCACGTCAAGATTTAAATCTGTCAATATTCGCTGCGGAGCTTTAATATTTGGTATGTACTGCAGGACGGCATCTTCTTTTTCTAACTTTAATTGTTCCAGGGCTAATTTCACTTGGTTCATTTCCTTGTTTAAACTTTCGTATTGCGTTCTCAGAGCCTCGACGTGAGCTTCATATCCTGAAATTTCGGTCCGGATTTTTTGTCGTTTGCTCTCTAAGGTTCGAAGTTCGTTATTCACTGAGACCTTTATTCGCTGCAAATCATTAATCTCGCTTTCCAGTTTTGAAGGTTTTAACGGGTCCAAGTCTGCCTTATCATAATCTAACTTTGAGCGTGATAGATAGCGCTGTTGTTCGGTATCGCCACCTATGTTCGAGATGTAGTAATGCGTTACCAAGGGAACCGTCATAAACAAGACAAATATTACAAGAAATAACTGCAGCATTGAGAGTCCACTTAAACAAGGACAAAATTTCATCTTTCGGAGCATTTTGAAGACACGCATTTTGAAATCTTTGGTTTTAACTTTAAGATGCTAACCTCCCCTCCCTGTTGATAGTGAAGAGTTCAACCACTATCAATTAGCTGGCCTTCTTTCCATATGATTTTCATGGTCTATTTTTACAATCACACATTATGAACATCACGTTGTTGTGTGGAAGAATTCATGTCTTTTCCAAATTATTTTCACACTGGAGTTCCTGTAAAAAAAAAAATAAAACATTTTTAACTTCTACTAGAGAGGGAGAAATGGGGTTTAACATCCAATCAACACAAACTAGGTTATTTTGGGACTAACATCATGTTTCAATTTTATTTCAATCATTCATTTATTTGTAGGGGTCTTTATCAGTGGGAGGAAACCTGGGGACCTGGAAAAAACCCACATGGTTAACAGGCAACCCTACTCCTTGTCACGCCAGGGAATTGAAAGAGAGAGAGAAATGGGGTTTAATGTCCACTCGACCCAAACTAGTTCATTTCGGGACTCTCCCATGGTTCTACTTTATTTCAATAATTCGCTTGCGCGTATGGGTCTTTAGCAGTGGGAGGAAACCGGAGGACCCGGAGAAAACCCACAAGGTTGGACAAACGACCCTACTCCTTGTCACATACAACTGGGGAATCGAAACCCCGCCACTTGACTCAATGACAAGACCTCATGATCGAATGCGTGGACACGATAACCCATTCGACCACCCACCCCCAATCTTCTACTAGAACTAGAAGCAAATTTTATTATTTTTGAAAGAATTCTCATGTATTGACTACATGTAAACACCCAGTGATTTTAGACAGAAACTCTTGGAGTGTACTCTTAGCAAAGTTCATTCCCATCCAGTCATGAATAAATATATAAACCAGAGGAAATAAAATACCACTATTTCCTCAGTGATAAAATGTTTTCCCTTCATATATAAGCCAGTAAATTAAATACCAATCTTTCCTTGGCATGGAAATAACTTTTTTCTTCTTCTAACATACATTAGGCCAAATAAAATAAATATTCTGGTTTTCAGTCACTTTGAAAGAGCAACATGATCCGTCTTTATTTCAAAATGTAAAAAATAAAATGATCTCATTTACTATTGCATGTAAATGTTTTCCCTGGGTGACAGGAAGTACATGTAACTCTAGTATATGTACATAGTAGGCTCAATTATCAAATATGCAATCAACTGTGATTAAAATACAGATCTATATTTACTTTCGGTGGCCTATGCTACATGAAGATCTTACCGGTTGTAGCCGAAGGTCAGCCATCCAACCCCCCTTATATTTGACAAAATAAAAACACAAAAACAGATTATTGGGAAGGATTGTCGGAGAACCAGAATATTTTTTTTTGTATGGCCTAACACCAACCACACACTGACATCTTTGTTTTCACATGAATAAAGAAAGCCTTAATACATCTACATGTTTCTCTTGTACATTTGGAAATTCAATTAAACCTTGTAAGTGCAAGGTCACAGAAACTGATGTCATAATAAACTCACACTTAAAGGAGCTAAACCTCTTACGCAATATTTTCCACAGTTTTCGAAATCAAAAACCTGAATATTCAATATTGGTCCATTTCAATCAATATTGGTGTTATCTTGCCGTGAAAATATGGTATCCTAACATACAATATTTAAGAGTCTTAAATTAAGACACATGAACACTTTAAATAAAATCAGTACACAAGTCCTGTACTGTATGGTTTCAGGTGCCATTTGTAATGAACAATGAAATTTTACAAGATAATGCGGAGAAATTAGCAATAGCTGATTCACAAACAACAAAATAATAATAAATTAAAGTGTAGAATGGACTAAGCATGAGGCATAAACAACTGCCATTTAATTTGTGCTGTTCACGTATTTCACCAAATATAATTTATTATAAACTACAATACTTTTTTAAAAAATTGAATACAAATCACTTCATATTACATTTACATGTGCTTTTACACCCGGAAGCCATGGTGGCTAAGTGAGGAAGATGTTGGCTCGCTAGTAAGTAAAACACTGGAGGTTGCGTGATCCCTGTGTTGGCCGGTATTCCCCTTGTCAGTGGTGCAGGACCACTGACAAGTTGTTTGGATGACACATAAAACTGAGGTACCGTGTACACATTGGCGTGCACAGAAAAGATCCTTTGGCAATTGGAATTTGATATAAGAGAAGACTATAGCGCCGCTATCTGGGCAAAATTTCCCTCATATGTAGAACACTGCATGGCGTATGCTGGTCTTCATTAGCCCAGTAGGAGCAGAACAGTAGGAACTTAAACCCCATTTCATTTCATTTCATGCTTTTAGACCCATTTAAGATTCCAAAGAACAAGTCATACACCCTTTAAAGCCCTGATCATCATATCCATCCGACCAATAACGACTTTTATCGTTACTAATCATCATTAGCATGTTGTGACGATATCTAATTATTTACCTAATTCTCACTAAGATGTACTCAATTTGATAATTTACATTTAATTAAAGATACATTATGTAAGATTTAGATAGAGAGCTAGCCATTCTTGTTATAATAGTTCAAAAATAGATAATGAAAAATGAATATATTGAAAATTTCAATCAAATTACTCTATTGTGAGTAAAGATATTAGTCTTTGAAGATTTGACAAGATGTGTGAAATCACAATATGGCTGAACCGTTCTAATCTACTAAATATTGGAAATATTCGATTTGATTATGGTCTTGTCATGTTAATAAATGTCTAATTAATAGTTTACATAGCATTTCAGGTTTAAAGAAAGACCCACAATAGTCAGATTTAGCTCTTGAATAATGTATGGTTAAGAAAAAGAAATCGAAATATATGGCTTGGGCTCAAATAGAAATGAAATGAAATGAAATGGAGTTTAACGTCCTACTGTTCTGCTCCTAAACTGGGCTAATGAAGACGGGCATACGCCATACAGTGTGCTATGAGGGAAATTTTGCCCGGGCAGCGGTAATACGGCCTACTCTTATATCGAATTCCAACTGCCAAGGGATCTTTTACATGCACGCCAATGTGTACACGGGACCTCGGTTTTTCATCCCATCCGAACAACTAGACAGGGCTCAAATAGACACATCAAACACTTACAAAATTTTCAATATGGTACATGTATATCACACCTTTGTACATATGTATATAATGGATTGAATACCATATTTGGACAGATGTTACTTTTAAAGATCAAATTCATAAAAACCACCGGTAGTTTGCAATGCATTCAAATCCTTAAAATGACAATCAGCAACTTTAAGCAAAAATGAATAATTTTTTTTTTTTTAAGAAATACTCCAAAACAACATATGCACTGAATTCTTGCAACCCTGATATATTTTCCATACCATCACCCTTGAATGTCTTCAACATGGATTTCTCATGTTTATAAAGTAATTTAAAGAGGCATTATGCAAGAACTAAATCTGACCATTGCAGCTATTGCTGATCTTTATCTGGTTTTAAATGTTACATAAACTGTCATTCAGATATTTATTCCCTGGTCTCATCCACTCTCTTGAGTCTAGAGTTGATGTGAATCAAGAGTCTAGACCATCAGTTGTCTTAGATATTTTAGAACGTTACTCACAGAGACCACCGATTGAAGAAATGAAAATCAAGATTCTTTTAATTATCATGGTAATGGTACAGTGTACTTCGCAATCAAAAATATCCCTACCAACCGGCCAAATACCCAAGCAAAATACTGTTCTCTCACATCTTACAATGATATTAAAACAGAGAGAGAAATGGGGTTTAACATCCACTTGACACTAACTGTCATTTTGGGACTAACATATGGTTCAATTTCATTTCAATAATTCACTTGCTCATAGGGGTTTTTAGCAGTGGGAGGAAACCAGAGGGAAAGGAGAAAACCCTCGAGGTTGGACAGATGGCCCTACTCCTCCTGGCCCCAAGTTCACAAAGCATTCTCAGACTTAAGTCTTAAGTTAAGAATTTACTCAAAATTGTTCTCCTTATTTTAACTAAAATATAGACCTTTATAAAACTTTTGTTGTTTTAATGTATCAAATACATCAATAAGAAACTATGTGCAAAGTTTTATGTTTCTGGATCAAAGATATTTTTCACAAACAGTGATGGAAAGTTTAGTAAATTCTTAACTTAAGTCTGAGAATGCTGTGTGAACTCGGGGGCCTTGTCACGTAGGCCTACAACCGGGAAATCGAAACCACGCTAGTTGACTCAATGACAGACCTTATGATGCAGCCAGCACACGCTAACCATTCGGCCATACAACCCCCCATGATCTTAGAACATAATGTACTGTAAAACATGAAATTATTGTGAGCATGAAATTATTGCGAAAATTGCGAGCGAGGCCCTCTCGCAATAATTTCATGTTCGCAATAATTTCGTGAAAATTTGTTAAAATGTCGGCCATATTGAATTACTCCCCCTTCATTACTCTTCACAAGAAAGAGTCCCAATAAGTACATTAGAATCTGTATGAGCAGCCACTCCTATTCAGCGACACCTCCTTGTAAGCGGTCGCCATAAATTACCCCCGTAAGAATTCTGTTGTTTCATCTCTTTATTTAACGGCCACTCCTCTAACGTGGCCAGCGGTCACTATTTTACAAATAAATTCAACAAAACATCGCCCATTCAACGGCCATTGTTGACTGTTACCATCTTGTCGTTCTATGAGTATGTAACACCCCCGCTAATCCTGTGAGTAGTAGTTAATTAACTGGACCCCCACTGATCAGGTAAAAAGAAATGTAACCCGGGATTATCTATTAATTAATCTTTTGTTTTATTAAACAACTAACCTGGTCATTGTTTTCACGCGTAACCACACATTATTTGATACTGATTGAATAAAATAAAAGTACCGAGTTTTGTCACGATCATCTAGTATCTCTTTTCCATTGCCACTTTATTGTTAAACAGACGTTTTAGTGCCTCCTATAATATTACATACAGAGTTACACCCCCTGTAAATAGGAGATAAAATTAGCGGTGTTTTTTTGTTCATGTGCTTTTTGGATAAAATAAAATTAATTCACAAAAATGGATAACTATTATCGAATGCATCACAATGGTGGACAGTAGTATCGAAGGTTGGTACAAAATGACAAGTTTACACTATTAGCTGTTACTAATGATCACCAATCAACCGATGTTTTAAAGAGCCGACTGTCACCTCAAAGCTATAATCCTCAATAGTTGATTATTTACTGTTAGTAATAATCACCAATCAACCGATGTTTTGAAGAGCCGACTGTCACCTCAAAATTAACAATCTACCACATTTTATAGACAAATTTACTAAAGATAGGTTGCCAGGCAACGAAACATACGCCCACAGCAGCTAAATCGTCCGGGCAGTCAACAAGAGTTGTCGCATATTTTTACTTTTTTCGGTAATGAAACATTTATAATACACTAAAATCTGATTAAGAGCAACAACTCAGAAAACCATTAGAATTTGTTTGGTTTTTATAAAGTTCTGCCCCATGCTAACGTTTTGTATACAAATCTTTTAATACTGTATCATGAATTTAGCTGTTCCAAGTCATAAAAATTCATTGAAAATCAATATACGTGTTCGTCTCAAGATCTTAAACTCTGTGTATCAATCTGCAGTCAATCGGATATTAACTTTGGCCTCTAGAGCGTCCAGAAGATTTTTCAAAGTGATCAAGGGCCATAACTTTGGCAGTAATTATCAGAAATCTTTGAAAATCAATAGGATTCTTCGCCTCGTGACCTCAAACACTGTGTATAAATTTAAAGTCAATCGGATATTAACTTTGAAGTGATCAAGGGCCATAACTCTGGCAGTAATTATCGGAAATCGCTGAAAATCAATAGGCTTCTTCGTCTCATGACCTTAAACACCGTGTATAAATTTAAAGTCAATTGGATATTATTAACTTTGGCCTCTAGAGCGTCCACAAGATTTTTTGAAGTGATCAAGGGCCATAACTCTGGCAGTAATTATCGGAAATCGCTGAAAATCAATAGGCTTCTTCGTCTCATGACCTTAAACACTGTGTATAAATTTAAAGGCAATCGGATATTAACTTTGGCCTCTAGAGCATCCACAAGATTTTTTGAAGTGGTCAAGGGCCATAACTCTGGCAGTAATTATCGGAAATCGCTGAAAATCAATAGGCTTCTTCGTCTCATGACCTTAAACACTGTGTATAAATTTAAAGGCAATTGGATTTTAACTTTGGCCTCTAGAGCATCCACAAGATTTTTTGAAGTGGTCAAGGGCCATAACTCTGGCAGTAATTATCGGAAATTGCTGAAAATCAATAGGCTTCTTCGTCTCATGACCTTAACCACTGTGTATAAATTTAAAGTCAATCGGATATTAACTTTGGCTTCTAGAGCGTCCATAAGATTTTTTGAAGTGATCAAGGGCCATAACTCTTGGCAGTAATTATCGGAAATCGCTGAAAATCAATAGGCTTCTTCGTCTCATTGCCTTAAACACTGTATATAAATTTAAAGTCAATCGGATATTAACTTTAGCCTCTAGAGCATCCACAAGCAATTGTGGACGCCGGACGGACAGACGGGGGCGACGACAATATACGACCACATTTCAATGTGGGCGTATAAAAAAATTTATTAAAATTTCGCAATAATTTCATGTCGCAATAATTTTTTCCCCACTATAGAAATTCGCAATAATTTCATGTCGCAATTATGTTTCACCACCCCAACTCGCAATAATTTCATGTCGCAATAATTTCATGTTTTACAGTATTGTATTCTTCCAAAATGTTGTAGGCCTCCCCTCTCAAAATCTTATCCTCTCACAAAATACTGTACTCTCAAAAAAAAAAAAAAAAAATACATTCATACCTTAATATTCATAACATACCTTAAACTGCTTCATGAAGTGCATTCATACATGTATTTTCAAAAATTGATAAAATACTTGCAGCCATGTTGATTGGTGAACCTGAAATGTACAAAAAAAACATGATTTTATTTTGACAAAAAAATTTGTTGTTACACATATCTCTACAATAATTAGTTTTACACAAGTTTAAAACAAAAATTTGTTTTTCAGGAAATATAAATTAAAGATACCTATTTAGCACTTGGTGTTAATAAAAGGATTAAAAATGATGGTTTGTAGTTAGCTATAAGGCACTAGAGACCCAGGTTTGACATCCATACAATGCAAAAAGAAATGAGATGGGGTTTAACGTCCTACTGTTTTGCTCCGACTGAGCTAATGAAGACGGGCATAAGTCATACATTGTGCTATGAGGGGAATTTTGCCTGGGCAGTGGCACTATGGCCTATTCTTATATCAAATTCAAACTACCAATGTATACACAGAACCTTGGTTTTTCGTCCCATTTGAATTACTACACAGCTGTACTTGTCAGGTCCTTCGTCATGCACCACTGACAAGGTGAAACCATGACGGAAGTTCCTGATGAACTTTCTCGGCAAATGAAGGGATCGAACATGCAACCTCTAGACTAGTGAGTCAGCGTCACTTAGCCACCGTGGCTCCCCAACACAATATAATCTCTATTACATCAATGAATAAATGAAAGGGAAAGGAATCAAATGAAATGTAAGGGAAGGGAAATTAACATCATCTGAACTTGATAAGCTGCATATATCAGAGAAATAATACTGGAAACCAGGGTTTAACATCCAGTTGTCCACGTTGACACTTTTATTTTTAAGAATAGGGGTCTTTAGCAGTGGGAGGTCACAGAGAAAATGGAGGATTCAATGACAGACTTTATGCTTTAACCTAAAGAGTATGCAATAGATCACCCACCACACCCATCACCAAAGACTTGTGACCATCTAGAATTACTAACATTTCATTTAGAAAGTTGCAAAGACAAGTTGCCAGGCAGCAAAACAGATGCCTAGAGCAAATAAATGAAATGAAATGGGGTTTAACATCCTACTGTTCTGCTATGATACAGTGTGCTATGAGGGAAATTTTGCCCGGACATCGGCACTACAGCCTACTCTTACATTGAATTCCAACTGCCAAGGGATCTTTTACGTTTTCCATCCCATCCAAACAACTTGACAGCTGCCCATGTAAGGCCCTCAATCCTGCACCAATAACAAGGGGGAAACCACGTCAGAAAATGCCAATGAACTTTCTCGGCCAACACTGGGATCGAACCAGCGACCTCCAGGCTAGTGAGCCAGCGTCTTACCCACTGTGGCTCCCCTAAGCCACTTAGCCACTGTGGCTCCCCTAAACTCTAAAAAGTCATTATTTGAAAACTTTGAAAATGAATAATATTCTTTGTCTCATGAACATTCACGTAAAAAAAGCTGTATCAAACAGTTTAAAAATTTAGCTGCTACAGCAACCACAAGATGTATCAAACAAATTACAAATTCAGCTGCTACAGGAACCATAAGATTTTTAAAACAGATCAAGGGCAGTAAATCTGGAAGCAATTACATGTAATGTCAATGGTAAATCCTTGAAAATCAACAGGTCAATGTCTAGTATAAACATAACTGTTTATTTCTTAGGACAGGCATCCAGTTTACAACTGGTCAGTCTTGAGAACATTATTTAGATTGTATAATTAATACATCATAATTGAGAGCATTATTTAGATTGTATAATAAATCAAGAGCATCATTTAGATTGTATAATACATCACAAAAAACTATTGTACATGTACTTGTAATTAATGCTGCACAATTTCTTATGGTATCTAATGCAGCATAATTCACTATACAGTATAATACATATAATTCACTATAGTAACTCAAGTTACTGAACTGATTTACATGTAGCCTATTCGCTATGGTAACTAATTAGTATGTAGCCTAATTCACTACATGGTAACTAATGCAGTATATGTATGTAGCCTAATGCACTGATTGTACATGTGTACATGCATTTTTACTTGTAACTAATGCCATGCAACATAATTCACTACTGTAACTGATGCAGTACAATATTCACAGTAACATCTGTAACAAATGCAGACTAATGCAGCACTGAATTAATTGTAGTATCTGTAATACATGTCAATGCAGTAAAATTTACTATGGTGAATAATGCAGCACAATTCACTATAGTACGTACACCTTGTAACAAAATAAAATTCACTATTTCCCTCACTAATCCATGTTATTTACATTATCAAAACAATCAAATCCTGAGACAAAACCATTCAAAATTGAAGTATTGTCTTTAAATGACAACAGAAGAGGCATCAGGTGTTCTAGAATTAGCAACCACAACCATGCCAACGCTTCACTTCCAAACACTTGTAAAGTTACTATGAATTAAAGCAAGATTTATAAATAAGCATGAAGTTAAGAAGAAAGAAGTTTGTTCACCCCTCTGTATATGTCAGTAGCCTATAAATCACACACACACACAGGTCTGTCTGTTACTTGTAATTCTAGCTGTACCACTAAACTAACTCCAGTAAAACTATGTGAGCTACAATACACACTCTACATGTTATACACAAATGCTGATAAACACAAATTCATTTAAAGACACGGTCTCTTACATGTACTTTTGCTAGAAAATTTAAAGCAGCACTACCACCACTTGAAGCAAAGCAAAATAATTTTTGGAAATTTCTAAGTTCTTCATAGAGTCATGTGTTTTTGTTCCATATCAGCTACAGAAAAAAAATCAAGATTTTTGAGAGAGAGAAAAATGGGGTTTAGCATTTAGGTCATTTTGGGACTAACACATGGTCCAGAAACTGGAGGACCGGGAAATCGAATCCACGGCAGTTGACTCAATGACAGACTTTATGATACAGCGCGCATGTGCTAACCATTCGGCCATCCACTCCCACCCCTCCCCCTTGAGATTTTTTGGAAAGAGTCTATAAGTTATATAAGTGCCTTGCATGCAATAACAATACGGTATTCTTAGGTTTAATAGTTATACACAAATTCATGAAAATGGCCAGTCTCTTACATACATGTACGCTAAAATATATAAAGCAGTGATACATGTAGCGGCACTTTGATTTAACAAAATAATTTTTTAATCTTATATAGCACCTTATTAATATATTCCTACCATTTCAGCTAAACTAAAAATTTAGATTCAGCAGTAACTGGACGACAATCTATGTAGGCCATTTTGGGACTAACATATTGTTCAATTTTATTTCAATAACTTGCTTGCACGTAGGAGTCTTTAGCAAGGGGAAGGAAACCAGATATGTGGGGAAAACCCATGAGGTTGTCATGTTTGAGTGGGGAATCAAAACCACTCCACTTAACACAATGACAGACCTGATTCAACATGCATATGTTAACCATACAGCCATCGATCTTGGCAGAGAATGAACCAATGATTTGTTTAGTGTGATTTTGATCTGTCAGTGGTGAAGGGTACAGGACCTATTGAGTATTGACGTATATTTAAGACAATCTTTGATCAATCTGATTAAAACACAGATCCTTTTTCGTTTCGTTTTTTATAGTTCAAAATTTCATTTTACTTCTCTTTACTACACTAGGATCTGGAAAAGTTATTATATAACTCGCATTCTGGTTGATGGGAGGGATTAGCCAATGAAACGGTCTGTTGCAGCAAGTTCTTGGTGTGCAATGCACAGAACTGTGATTATCCTACTAGAGTAGAATCATCAACACTGATTGGTTAATCAAATGTCTGACGTCATAGGGTCAGATCTTTATGTAGTAGAGGCCATCGAAAGTATTAAAAAACGAAACAAAATATAGATCTGTATTTTCATCAGATTGAGAACCTTTGACATTTGGCAACTGAAGAAGACTAGACAGAAATACAACTGCCTGAGTAAAATTCTCATACCTCTAATTCCGCACATAACCATCATAGAAATAAAATTTACTGTGTAAGTTTGTCTCAAAATAATTGAAGTATTGTGGTGACAAAACCCATTAAAAACTTCGTACCATTCTACAAAAAATCTAATTACATCCTGAGAACTTTCATAAATTTTTCGTTATCTTAATTCCTACAAGTTGTTCAAACAGTGAAAGATACCATGTTTCATTTTGGCAACTGTTTTAGGATTGGGAGTTGGTTTGAGTTGGGGTTTTTTTTGCCAAATGCTTTTAACATGCTCATTAAATCTGAAAAGAATTTGTTCTGAAGATTATTTTATATGATAAATTATGTACGAGTTTCAAATTATTTTATATTTGGCCATTTATTTTGGCAGAATTCTCTGAAATACATGTTATTATGTATTCATCGAAGCTTGAATACATGAAAAACATTCCGTTATGAAATTTACTTTTATTAAAGCTCTGTGATTCAATTTTTTTTTTATCATGTAGCCTATTCATTGAAGTTTGACTACATGTAGATGAGAAAGAGTTTTTTGGTTACAAAATGAATCTGCTTAAAGATCTGTGATTCATTATTTATTTTTATTATATAAATGAAATGAAATGAAATGAAATGGGGTTTAACGTCCTACTGTTCTGCTCCTATACTGGGCTAATGAAGACGGGCATACGCCATACAGTGTGCTATGAGGGAAATTTTGCCCGGGCAGTGGCACTATCGCCTACTCTTATATCGAATTCCAACTGCCAAGGGATCTTTTACGTGCATTCCAATGTTTACATGGGACCTCGGTTTTTCGTCTCATCCGAAGGACTAGACATATTATCTAAATGAAAGTACTGTAAATGCTAGCATGTACTCGTTAAAGTTTGAATAGATGAAAATAAATATTTTAGTTACAAAATGAATCTGTTTAAAGATCAGTGATTCAATTTTCATTATCTAAAGGGAAATATATGTACATGAAAAAAAAATAATTAGTTAACTAGCGAGCCAACATCTTACCTACTTAGCTACCATGACTCCCAAAATATTGCCCAGGCAACGGCACTACATCCTACACATACTCTTATTTTGTTATGGGTTCTTTTAAACATACATTATGCAAGAGCAAAATCTGATTATTGCAAGTCTTTATTTAAGCTTCAGATGTCATAGAAATTATAAATTAGATCTTTATTACACAACAAGCACAAAATCAACTCTGTAGACCCACGGATGGCTTGGATTCAGCTTGGATTTTAACGGGATTTCGTTGACTGATTAATTTTAAATGGCATCATGAGCGGAGATTAACCGTTACGTTGACGTCATACTCCCGAATTGAGGCTAAATGATAGAGTGTACGAAGCGAGGCCGCTGTTGTGTTGAGCGATGCCTAACAAATGACATCTAAACTATTTAAAGTGCAATAAACTAAACACAGATAATGACAAATTATACAATTTCTGGAGACCGTGTGATGACTAATACAGACGGACAGGTCTTCTGTCTTAATAATATCAATAAAAATATTTTTATTTCCCCAATAGGCACGACGCCACTATAAAACCTATAGATTTATCATAATTGTATTATAATATTATGTCCTATATTCAACTGATTTAATGTATGCCCAAAATACAAGTAAGAATGAAAATTTACCCTCTCACTCATTTTGTCCAATTGTTATATAAATCCAAAAAGGTAAAACACAAATTCGGATATGATGACAGCAGACAAAAGACAGCAGAGATTATGTAGGTGGAGTTAACGCCTGTCAATCAAACGATCAGCCATACTAAGAATCGGTGAAGATGGAATTCAATCCCATTTCTAGTCAAAAATTACACTGGTGATAACTATGTTCAGAATAAAGTAATTTGACTGAAATCTTCAATATATTCTTCTTTCATCATCTATTTTTGAACTGTTATAGCAAGAATGGCTAACTCCTTATAAAAATCTCCCATACATGTAATTTATGTGCGCGCCAAATATGTCCCATCGAAACAACTAGCTTGCCACACAACAGTCCGAAGAAATGAATCATTGTGTGTACCATTTACAATCAATAGGTAAATAGTAAATGTATGTATCTATTGATCATAAATGCATAAACCATACATTTGAAATCAGTTGGGGTATATAAATGTATAGGCCATCTATGTTTGTGTGTTGCATTTTATATGAAATATTTTTATAGCTACATGTATGTAGATTTTATCTGCTGTGTGAGTCATTTGCATTATTTGGAAAATATAAAATTTACGACAAAGCAAATGTCACAAACAAATTTAAAGTTGCAATTTCATATTTTTACGTTATATTTTTAAAATTGATTAAAATAAAGCCTTAAAATAGATGGTATCTATAAACAGTCCTACCTTGTTAAAGAATAATCCTATTAATCCTATTAATCCTATAATTCACTATTGCCAGTTGAGAAATTGGCAAAAATATCATTTTCCTCTTCAAATTCAAACGTTTGAGGATAGCTATTTCATGGTGGAGAATAGAAAACAAGGGAGGTAATTGTGTTATTATTTCCGGTGTAAATGAGTTTTAAGTGTGAGAATGACACCTATGATCGTATAATAGTGAGTTGACAACCTATTGAGCAAAAGACATAGGAATAATTATGTTTTGACTTTCTTAGAAAATATGAAATTGTAACTTTAATAAATGGTGATGGCGAAGGATATATATCCTTCACCGATTTTCATCTGATTATACAATCATTGACTGATTATGATCTGCACAAGGTCGGACTGTTAGGTACAAAATATGGGATTTGTACAGAAGATGTCGAAGAAGATTAAAGTACCATATAAGCTGACGTAATCTTACGAACTAAATTTTAAAGTTAAAAACATTTAATATGCTTTAAAAACCTATTTATTATTTTTCAAATTAATACAATACCTATTTTAACTAAATATGTATGCACAAGTAGTAATTCATTAAAATTCAGAGAAAATTATTTGGTTACTGCATCTATGATTTTTTTTCTAAATATTTTAAAATACATGAAACCACCATGCCATGCACGTAAATTTTGCAAGGACCGTGATGTTACAGCATACTATTTTTTCGAATTTCAACTGTCAAGGATTTTTTTTCGTGCTTCCCACAGGACCTTGGTTTTTCATCCCACCCGAACAATTAGCCGATGTGCCTTGTACCGCCATTGTCCTACGAAATTAACAAGAGGCAATCAAGCAGGAAAATCATGAGGAACTTTGTGGACTAACACCAGGAGCAGACCTTGGAGTGACTTGATTAGCGAGCCAGCGTCTTATTTACTGAGCCACCATGACTCCTTAAAGGGGCTAAATCGCTAATATTTGAGAACTAGAAATTGACACAATTGGGTGGCAACGCATATAATGATGTAATATATGAATGTGTATAAACTGATTTACATGCAATCGTTTCTGTTTTTACTATAATTTCTAATGAGTTATGGTCGGTGAAGTACGACAGAAGTATCAATCGAATGGTAATCTCTAGCGTCTGGTTAGTCCAGTCTACTCCGATAGTATTTATTGCGCGTGCTCGCCAGATAAGAATATGACATCACCGTTTGACGGGACTTGTGGAATATGTCTAAGTTCGTTCTTC